GCACACACATGCACACACATGCACGCGCACGCACACACATGCACGCGCACACGTGAACACACATGTGTGCGGGCACACACACGCACGCACACGCACACATGCACACACACACACACCCCCGGTTTAAACCAGCGGTAGGCCTGCCAGCAAGCACAGGACATCTCCAACGGAAAGAACAGAGCTGTGGACCAGCAACAAGAGAGCAACCAGCACGCAGAGAGGGCAGCACTGCCTTAGGGGGACACGCATACACCAGGGCACCGGTGAATAATGCGCATCTTTTCAATCGGTGGAGTTACACACATGTTGACATATATGCGATGTGATATGTGTGCTGTTTTGTTGTATTCCCCGCTCAGATGACCACTTGTTCCAATCGAGGGCAATGCACTTTCTGAGCAGCACTTCAAAGCGCACGAAGGAGTGGGAAATTGGGTGTCCGAATGGTTTGCCTCAAAACAAGAAAAGTTCTATTGGGACAGTCTCCACAAATCACCTGAGAGATGGGGGAATGTGTAGCTAGCGATGGACATGACTTTGAACAAAGCACTTCTGATGTTTCTCTTGAAATTATTGTGTTGTCTTTTATTACAAAATCTGCATTTATTACAGTTAAAAATGCGGATTAACTATTAACCGGGGCCGTGCAGCGGGAGGAGTCCCCTTTGCCATGCGACACCTGCTCACAGGTCCTGGAGCCAGGATGCTGACACCTTTGGGGGCCACTATTCTGCCGGCCACACGCCCTTCCGTCCACGGAAACTGGTAAAAGCCTGTCTCCTGACTGTTGGTGTGAAGCTGACTCTGCTGCATTGGACGCGAAAGGCTTCCTTCAGCCCTAAAAGCCGTCTTTCCTCCAGGCTGGAAAGGAGCGACGGCTCCGCACTCCCTGGGGCCCGGCTACCGCGCCTGCTGTGTCCTATGGGGAGGGTGGCCCTGAGGCGGCCCTGCCGTGACCCTGGCCCCCGCCCAGCATGTGCTCCGACGCAGGGCACGCGAGCCCACTCCCGGGTTCAGGGTTCGAGGCAAAGGAGGACATCAGAGGAAGCTTCGGGGCACTCTCCACACGTTTCCTCATCCACACGCGGGGACACGCGGGGACGCACGGGGAGGCGCCCTCGGAGCCTGGGAGCATCCCAGAGCCACGGCAACCGCCCGGCACCCGGCGGGGGAGCCAGCGTGGTTCATGTGGAAAGTTCCCGCAAGCCAAGCCCACGTCAGCGACACTCAGATGTGGCCCGGAGGGTTGTGGCAAAACGTCAGGATCTACTTCCCAGCCCCAACGTGACCGATTCCGTTCTCATTCTCTCCAGGGGGCCCCTGGGGCTAGAGGTGCCCCTGCAGGTGGCTGGGGGAAGGGCTGGGGGAGGGGCAGGGGCTGGGGCTGGGGCTGGGGTGGGGTGTGGGGGGACGCCCTGTAAATGACTCGCCACGGCCCACCCAGCACGTACTGTGTCCGGCGCCCGGGCTTTCTGTGCGCCTCTTGGCCCAGGACGCTGAGGCCTGGGAGGCGGGAGGAACCCGGGGACCAGCCCCTCCGCAGCCTCCCGGCTAAAGCCCTACCAGCGGCAGGAGCAGGGCCTCGGAGAGGAGGGAGCGCGGTGTGGACACGCCCAGAGCACTGGCTGGAGAGGAAATGGGGGGGGCTGGCCTGTGAGCAGCCCCCACAAAAGGGAAGGAATCCTAACAAAACAGTGGCCGCGGCCGGCTCTTTCAGGGGCTCGCCGTGTGCCAAGGGCTCTCTTAACGGCCGGACGTGGCAGTAACTCGTTGAACCCCACGGTGATCCTATGCAACAGGCACTAGCACCTCCATTTTACAGGAGAAGAAACCGAGGCGTGCGGCCAGGAAGCTCGGAATCCAGTCTCGCTCAGGAGGCCCTGGGCTGGCGGGGCTGAGGTCCGGCCCCTGGAGAGGGCAGAGTCAGCAGCGACGGAGCTGGAGGCCTTCCCTGTGCAGGGCACTCCTCCGGCGCTGGCGACCCAGAGGCCAACACGAGCCAGGCCCTGCTGCTCCCGGAGGGTGACATCCATCAGGGCAAGTACAGAAAGACACACAGACACACAGACACACAGGCCTCCGCTGAAGCCCGCGAGGACAGGAAGGCACTGGGAGTGGGTTTGGAAGGAAGCCTCTGCATTCCTGGAGGGTTGAGCCTGAGGCTGACAGAATGGCAGGTGCAAAGGGCCTGGGGCAGGAGGTGCTTGCTTATCCGCAGAATAAAGAGGAGGCTCCTGGGCCAGGAGGGCAAAGGGCATGAGGTCAGAGAGCAGAGGGAGCCAGTCCACACAGGACCTGTGGGTCAAGGAGTGGGAGCCTAGGGGAGCTAAGCCGGGGCGGGGGGCCCACTGCGAGGGAGCCCCTCCACCAGGAACCGGGGAAAGAAACGCCGTGTGTCCAGTATGTTTCCTGGGGAGTCAGACCAGGGGTCCAGGGCCCTGGACACCACAGGAAGCGTCACCCAGGAGGGAATTCTCGAGCTGCTTCCCTTAGAGCAGCGGTTCTCAACCCGTGGGTCACGACCCCTTTGGCGGTCGAACGACCCTTTCACAGGGGTCGCCTAAGACCATCCTGCATATCAGATATTTACATGACGATTCATAACAGTAGCAACATTACAGTTATGAAGTAGCAACGAAAATAATTGTATGGTTGGGTCACAACATGAGGAACTGTATGTAAAGGGCCAGAAGGTTGAGAACCACTGCGTTAGAGAATTTCCCCCGAGAGCCCACTCCTTGGTCACGGGCGCCCCGACACCAAGGCGGGCCGTGAGGCT